ATCCCCAATGCCGTCCTTGTCAAAGTCTTCTTGTCCAGAGTTAGGCAGGAGGGGGCAGTTGTCCTGCAAACAGAGGGGGTGCAAAGGCGACAGAAATGTCCGAAGAGCCCCTGGCTTTCAGGAGGGTGGGGCAATCAGGACCCGAGGTCAGCATCAGACATCGGTCCCCAGCGGGGTCAGGAGGACGGGACACCTGGCGGCAGGGACGGGACCACTGCGTGTCCTCTCCAGACTCACACCCACCTCCAGGGAGTGGAGACCAGGGAAGCTTGGGCGTCGAGCCCAGGATCCCTGAAGCTGCAGACCACCGCAGGAACCAGAGGAGGAAGGAAACGCAGGGCCGGCCGGAACCGCCCACCCTGTTCCGTCCCACAGACTTCACGTCAAAAAGCCTCAGTCACAGACATTTAACCCTCACTAGCCGAGAGTCCTTGGAGGTGCAGGGATCTGCTGAGGACCCAAGGCCTGGCGCCCACACCGTCCCCCCAGGTCAGCTCCTCCCGGTGAGTGGATAAATTCCAGAATCGGAAGAAAATCACTCTGTTTCAGTCCAACTCTGTTATGACTCAAACCCAAGCTGCAGGGACACCCCAGCCTGAGGGAACCGGGGATACCAGGGCAGGGTCGATGGTAAAGAGGGGGCTTCAATTCCATGAATGCATGTGTCACAGAAGCCCCAGGGGTCCAATCAGAAGCACCCCGCCTTGGGGCCACGTCTGGAGCCGGGTTTCAACTCCAGCCCGTGAAGGACAAGAGGGGTTCCTGGGTTCCTGCCACAGGGACACAGGTCCTCGAGGGCATCGGCCAGTGATGGACTCAGACCCTCGCAGCAACTAAGGGAGCCTCTCAGATGAGGTGGGGTGCTTCCTATGAACTGACCTTTGCATCTGTTTGTTCTCGTAAATTCTGTTTGGAAATTGTGATGTGCTATCTTTAAGTTCTTAAATTCCTGTCTGAAGTTCCACAAAAGTGAAAAAAAAAGCAAGATGCCCTCATCCTCATGACACCTTCCTGCTACGGCGCCTGCTGTACCCTGGACCCCTTAGCCGTGGTCATCCAAGCAGCACCCACTTCCCGGGACTCTCAGAGCTGGACACCTGAGCTTGTTAGATCGGGGACAGTGGTCAGGCAGCTACAGTGAAGGCTGCAAGATACCTCGGCTATTTCAAAGCAAGCTCACTTTTGCTTCAGTCAACTTCTGCCATCTTTAAGAGAGAGAACAAAAGGAAAAATTTAAAGCTCTATTGCTCACAATTCACAAGAATAAGTAAATGTTAAATATTTGAATATATTTGTATTTACAAATAATGTCTTTTGCTAGTTTGTAGCATTCACACTTCTGAAGCTACTAAGGCATAAAACTGCGCTAACCCTTTCTGGGACACCTTGTTAGTGTCAGAGGCGTCCCTCGACGCCTGCCACGTTCTAGTCTTCTGGAACCTGCAGATGTCGCCTTATATGGCAAAGGAGTGGCCAGTACCTCACATGGTAAAGAGAAGATCACCTTATGTGCCAAAGAAGTGACTGATTTAAGGGTCTTGAAAGGATGAGCTTATCCTGGAGAACTGAGATGGGCCCTGAGCACACCCACGTGGGTCCTGAGGAGGATGAGAGGCAGTTTGGGACAGACACAGAGAAGCAGGCGGAAGCGGAGGTCAGGGTGATGTGCCCACAAGCCAAGGTCACCTGGGGCCGCCAGAAGCCGGGAGAGGCAGAAAGGACCCTCCTCCGGACGTCCCAGCGGGGACGCAGCCCTGTGACCCCTTGACCTCAGACTCCTGCTCCAGACTGTGAGAAGGTGAAACTCTGCTGTTCTCAGCCACCCAGTCTGGGGCCTTGGCTGCAGGAGTCCAGGACAGGAACACACACTGTTGACCCCAAGGAAGTTCTGCTCATCCAGGGGGCCTAATTGCTTCCTGTGTGGGGCACACGGGGGTCTTTGTAAGGGAAAACATTCACTGGCTTCTGGCTGAGTGACCGCAGCTGAGCCCAGTTCCTGCACAGACTCGCCTCCAAGGTCGTGGGGTCTGTTTACATCCCCCTCTGCCTCCCCTTCACTGATTTCAATCTCTCTTCGCAGTCGGTCAACAAACACGTATCAGACATGGTGTCCCCTCTCAGTTCCCAACAAGGAGCTACTTTTTCAGAGAAATCCCTGGAATTCACAGAAATCCACCAGGCAGATGCCTTTAGGGGGCTGACAGGTGGCCTGATGACACTGCCCAGCTCCCCTGGCATCTCGAGGTGGGAGCCACGTGGCGTGCAGAGTGCCCTGGGGACGGTGAGGACCCTCTGAGGGCTTCGACCCGTAGGTCATCTCCACGGGGGCACGGCTGCCCCCAGTCTGGAGCCTTGGCTGCAGGAGTCCAGGACAGGAACACACACTGTTGACCCCAAGGAAGTTCCAGTTCCAGTGACCTGAGTCACTGGAGTCTGGAGAGAGGTGTGAGCACCTGCCCTGCACCCCACCCCCGCATCCTCACCTTGACGCAGTGGTAGGTGGCATTGGTGGCGCAGACCAGGTTCCTGTTGGGCCAGCCGTCCAGGTCCGAGTCCTCCCCACAGATGAGCCCGTCGCCCGCGTAGCCGGTCTGGCACTCGCACTTGAACATGGGGTCGCTGAAGTGGCCCAGGTAGACGCACTCCGCGTGCCTGTGGCAGTTGTGGGTCTTGTCCTTGCAGGGGTTCTCAGGCTCGCACACCTGCCAGGAGGCCCAAGCAGTCAGGACAGGAGGGCCGCGTGCCGGGCGCAGGTCCTGCCCGCGGGACGCCGAGGCGGCGGCAGCTGCAGGGGCAGGTCCAGACCCCTGGGCTCTGCCTTCGCAGGGTTGTTTCACACGGCAGCGCCCTGAGCAACCACCCATCCGAGCCTCCGGTGACACCTGGGGCCACGTAGGGACCAGAAGTCCTCACCTTGGTCCTCATGAAGCCCAGACCTGCACTCTGTGCTCTGAATCCCGTGTCCCTCGCTGCTGGGGTCATGCTGGCCGGCAAAGGAAAACCCTCCTGCTGTCTGTGCCCCCCAGCCCAGCCTCTGTTTTCCGACTCCTGTCTGCTTGTTCTCTCGCTTTTAACGTGAACACAAAAGGCTGAGCTGCTTCCCCTGGGGAAGGCGCACCTGCTTCTCGGTCCTGGCTTCCTCCAGGCCAACCCCAAAGGGCTGAGTCCCCTTGTAGCGTGGGGGGCAGGGCAGACAGTGGAAGCCCGGGTTGGTGTTGACGCAGCGGTGAGCCTTGCTGGTCGCGAAGCACACATCAGTGACCACGGCACACTGCAGCAAGCAGACCAGACATGAGTCCACGCCCCGACCTCCACCGGACGCCCCGCTGCCCAGGGAGGGGCACCCACCTCGTCCAGGTCCTCGCAGTGGGTGCCGTTGCCCAGGAAGCCCACCGGGCAGGAGCCGCAGGACCAGGAGCCGTCGGGGAAGCTGCTGCAAGGCGCTCCAGGGAAGCAGGGGTTGGACAGGCAGCCGTCTGCACAGGAAGCAGAGCAGGGTTAGCCACCGCCGCCGGGCCGCCATCCCGGGCCCACAGGACAGGCGCATCTCTGCCCTCCAAGCAGTCTGGCTCAGCTGTGGTGACACTGAGCAAGTTAGGAAGATGCTGGCGATGGCCACCAAGAGCGATCACCTCCAGCAACAAGCGCTCAGTTAGTGAGCGCGCGCTCTGATCTGACTGCGGACAGTGACCCTTCCTGCTCCGTGTGCTGTTTTTACGTAAAAATGCTAGAGGAACAAAATCCAAATAATGCAGAGGATAAAAGTTATCCGCCTGTGCACAGAGCTGACTTTTCTTTTTCGTATTTTCCAAAAACTTTTATACTTTTAATCAGAATAAAAGCCCAGGGGTGTCTTTATAAAGACGTCTCTGGCTGCAGCACCCAGACCGCCCGACAGCTGCTCGCCGGCCGGGGCTGAGGGCCCAGGCACCGCCCCCGCGCACACCCACCTAGCGGGCAGCTCCTCTTGTTGCACATCTGACGCTCCGTGATGTCCCCGACGCAGTCCTTCCCTCCATGCTGTGGCTTGGGGCTGTTACAGACGCGTGTCCGCTCCCGGATTCCTCCAGCACAGGTGACCGTGCAGGCTGACCATGGGGACCAGGGGCTCCACCGACCATCCACTGCGAGGGGAGAGCACAGAGGGTCACCGGAGGAGTAGGGCCAGAGCTGGGGCATGGCAGCATGTCCGAATGTGGAGGAAAACGTGGTAGGAACGTCCTTTTGTGCCCATGAGGTCAGGGAAGGAGGCAGGCAGTGACATTTCAGCTGATTTTGTTTTGCTTCTGGGAAAAAAGTCACACAAACTTCTGTGCCCAGAACCTGAGAACTGTTGGCGAGGGGCCGCTGGCTGCAGGGGCACCCCTGCCACAGACAAGAGGTGCTCACGTCAGAGAAGCTGCCCGATGTTGAGTTTCATTCCAAGCGACTGTCACTCGTCCTCAGACAAATGGTAACTCAGCAGGGAGAGGAGTCACCACACCTCCCTTTTCTGAGCAAACACACTGCACCAGTCGGGCTTCCCAGAGCAGGCCTGGTGCTGGGGCCCTGAGTCCTCCGTACCTGGAGCCTCGAGGTACGCCCCATTCTGTGCCTTCTGCGGCTGCCCCAGGCCAGGTGCCCCCAGGGCCTGGCCTGTTTCCCTTCAATTGTGGATGAGCTGCAATTTGACGGAGCTGGTTTCAGGGAGGTCAGAGTGAGCCCAGGCCAGTGGCACGACCCCAGACACCAGCGAGCCAAGGGGGCCCAGGGCTCCCCGCCGCGCCCCCACCTCCCGCC